AAAATAAATTATATTATTTAATAATTAATTTTTTTATTATATTAAAATCATATAATATTATATAAATAATCTCATTTAATGGCATAAGTTTTATGGTTAGTATCAAATTTTTCATCCTCTCTCAGTACTCTAATACATGATGATGACCAAATTTCAAAATAAAATTTCAAAATTTGATATATTATAATTATAATATTATGTAATATTATAAATTTATAATATGATATATCATTATATAAATAAATTTTTTTATTTAAAAATTTATTTATAATATTATATATATCTACTCATTTATACTATATTATATTTCATTTAAAAGCACAAAAAATGCATTTTTTAAAATTAATTTACATAAAAAATTATAAAAAGTGATATTTATTTTAACATCATTGATATGTAAATGATTTTAATTAGATAATTGATTAATTTAAAATCAAAATTTATCATTTTTATGTAAATTAATTATAAAAGGTACATTAATTGTATCTTTTAACCTACATTCTAAAGGTATAAATTAAAAAAACTCCTTATTTAATACCAAGTAAGATTGTAAGTTTACAATCTTACAAAGTTGTGTAACAATAGTATTACCGAATTCAAAATTAAAAGAGTAAAGTAAAAATGGGGAAATTTTGGGTTTTTTTTTAAAATTCAAATATCCCTATGGATCTTTCTTGTGTATTTGTTTATTAATAGTATTTTAATATTTGTATTATTATTTAGGACATTTTAATTATCAAAATATTATAGTTTTTCTCAACTCAAATTAAAAATAGAGGAATATAACGCTTGGTTTATAAATCTTGGACTATGCTGTGATGTAATAGTAATTTTTTAATATTTTTACTATCTAAAAATATAAAAATATATTAATTAAAATTAATAAAAATTTATATAAATTAATTAAAAATTATAAATTTACATTGTTAGAAGTTTTAACAAATCAAACTTCGGCTTAATTTGACATGTTTAATGCTATCCTGTAACTGTAGATATTAGAAGTGATGTGTTATATTGTTACGAAAAGTACTTTAGTGTTTGGTAATTAAATTTTAAAATAATTATCTATCATAAAATTATTTAATTAGA